TACTTACAGATGGAAAGAATTAAAATTGTTAAAATTACTATACTACCAGAAGCAATCTACAGTTTCAATGATATTCCTATCAAAACACCAATGATATTCTTCACAAAGATGGAAAAAAATCCTAAAGTTCATATGAAACAACAAAAGGCCCCAAATGTCCAAAGCAATCCTGAGCACAGGAATAAGGCTAGAGTCAACATACTACCTAACATCTACTACCTAACTTCAAATATACTACAAAGTTGTAGTAACCAAAACAGCATCATACTGGCATAAAAACAGACATGTAGACCAATGGAACAGAATAGAGAACCCCAAAATTAATCTGCTTATTGACAGCCAACTGACTTTTACAAAAGCTAAGAACATTCATTGGGGAAAGGACAATTTCTTCAATAAATGGTGCTGAGAAAACTGAATATCCCTATGCAGAAGAATTAAACTAGATTCACATCTGTCATCCTACACAAAAATCAATTCATAATGGATCAAAGACCTCAATGTTAAGACCTGAAATTATAAAACTACTAGAAGAAAACATAGGGTTGTAATACTTCAGGACACTAGGTCAAAGAAAAGATCTTATGAATAAGAATTCCAAATCACAGACAACAAAAAAAGAAATAGACAAATCAGATGACATCAAACTCAAAAGATTCTGCATAGCAAGGGAAACAATCAACAGTCTAAAAAAAAAAAAAACAACCTACAGAAAAAATGAAAATATTTGCCAACTATTCATCTGATGGGAGATTTATATCCAGATTACACAAGGAACTCAAATATCTCAAGAGCAAAAAACCAATTTGCTTAAAAAACAGGCCAATGATTTGAACAGACATTTCTGAAAAGACATACACATGGCCAACAAATATATGAAGAAATGCTTAACATCATTAATCATCAGGGAAATGCAAATAGAAACCACAGTAAGATATCATCTCACCCCAGTTAGGATATCTATTTTCAGAAAAACAAAAAATAATAAATGCTGGTGAGGATGCAAAGAAAAGGGAACTTTTATACACCATTGGTGAGAATGTAAACTAGTACAGCCAATATTGAGAAAAGTACAAAGGTTCCCCAAAAAACACTACAAATAGAACTACCATATGGTCCAGCAATCACACTACTGAAAATTTATATAAAGGAAAGGAAATCATTACATCAGAGAGACATCTGAACCCCTGTATTTATTGTTGTATTATTCACAATAACCATGATACAGATGAACTTAGGTCCAACAACAGATGCATGGATAAAGATTATGTGTATATATACACAATGGAATACTGTTTAGCCATTAAAAAAACAAAAAGAAATCCTGTCATTCACAGCAACATGGATGGAACTGGAAGAAGTTATGTTAAATGAAATAAGCCAGGAAAAGAAAGTTAAACACCATGCATTTTCACTCATCTATGGAAGCCAAGAAAAGTAAATTTTATCGAAGTCAAAAGTAGAAGAGAGGATAGGGTAGGAAGGGTAGGAGGAAAGGAGGGCTAGGTAGAGATTTAATTACAAATACAAAATTATAACAAGATGGGAGGCGTAAGTTATAGTGTTGTACTATCATTGTTCTGTAAATATAGGATGACTGTAATTAACAATAATAGTTTCCAATAGCTAGAAGGAGGATACTGGATGTTCCCAACACAAACAAATGATAAATGTTTGAGATGACTGACATGCTAATTACTCTGATTTGATCACTATACATTATATGTATCAAAATATCACTATATACCCCATCAAAATGTATGAGTCAGTTTAAAAATAAAGTAAAAAAAGGTTAATTACTACTTAAAATGTTTATTTTATAAAATAAATGTTTTGAGCTATTTAAGCCAGACTTACACAAGAAGGAAAGATTGTTAGAAAACTGAAATGCAGTATCACATTAGAAGCAAATGATAGAACTGGCAGTAAAGAAACTCACATTGGCCATATGGTAGAATGCTTAGAGGAGGAGAAAAAAACATGAAAAAAGATGGTAGGCACAGACAAATGAAAACCAAGATTTAAGAACTGAATATTCTAATATTGGATATTCATTTTCCCTAATCCTAAGAAAAAATAAAAGAGAACATTCAAAAATAAAAGGTTATTTAGTGAAGAATATCTCTAAATTTATACTAAAACAGTATACAGAATATCAGTGAATTTTTGACTCTTAGACATAGTCTATGAATAACTAATGCAATAGGAAAAGAAAAATAAAAGGTTTAGAGATAGGGAAGAAATAATTAAACTTGTCTTTGCTCACAGATAACAAAATTATCTAAGTAAAAAATCTCAAAGAATTGACAAAACAAACAAACAAAAAAAAAAAACTCCTGGAGTTGAGAAGCAATTATAGTAAAGTTGCAGAATACAAGGTAATCTATAAAAGCCAAGTGTTTAGCCATATACTAGCAATGAACATGTTAGAAAAGAAAATTTTAAAAACATAGTACTATTCACACTGGCACCAACAAATAAAAAATTGGTATAAAACTAATAAAATATGTATAAGATCTTTATTAAGAAAACTATAAAAACTGATGAAATTCCTAAATAAAGAGATACTCCATGAATGGGAAGACTCAATATAGTTAAATGTCCATTCTTCTTCATGTGATATGTAAATTCAACACAAAATCCCGGCAACTCAATACAAAGATTCTAGGAATTTGTTGAATATGCACAAAGTAAATCTAAAGTTATTATGAAAGGGCAAAGTATCCAGACAGCCAACACAATACTGTAGAAAAACAAAGTCAGAAGACTGACAGTAATTACCTTAAAGACTCACTAAAAATCTACGGTAATCAAAACAATGTGATATTGGCAAAAGAATTAATAAAGCAAGGGAATAGAAAGAGAACCTAAAAAGAGACCCACACAAACACAGTCAACTGATCTTTGACAAAGAAGCAAAGGCGATTCAATGGATGAAAGATACTCTTTCTCTAACTGGACATTCATTTGCAAAAAAAAGAAAAAAAAAATCTAAATACAGACCTTACACCTTTCACAAAAAGCAACTCAAAATGAATCATAGACCAGATGTAAAATGCAGAACCATAAAGCTTGTAAAAGATACACAGGAAAAAATCTAGATGACCTTGGGTTTGGTGATAAAGCTTCGAATACAACACAAAAATCATAATCCATGATAGAAAAAACTGACAAGATTATTAAAATCAAAGACTTCAGCTGGGCACAGTGTTTCAGCTCTGTAATCCCAGCACTTGGGAAAGCTGAGGCAGGAGGATTGCTTGAGCTCAGGAGTTCAGGGCCAGCCTGGGAAACATAGGGAGACCCCTATATCTACAAAAAATTTAAAGAAAATTAGCCAGGTGTGATGGTGTATGCTTGTAATCCCAGGTATTCGGGAGGCTGAGGTGGGAGGGCTGCTCGTGCCCAAGAGGCCGAGGCTACAGTGAGCTGTGATCATGCCACTGCACTTCAGGCTGGGTGAAAGAGTGAAAGAGTAAGACCCTATCTTGTAAGTAAGATAGATAAATAGATAGATAGATAACTATTCTACCAAAGATACTATTAATAATATGAAAAGACAGAACAAGATCCAGTCTCAAAAATAAGTAAATAAAAACCTCTGCTCTGCCAAAGACAATGTTAATATTATGAAAAGAAAAGCCCCAGACTGTAAGAAAATACTTGCAAAACAAAACTGAAATCAGAAATATAAAGGACTCTTAAAACCTATCAATAGGAAAACAAAGAACCCAAATTAAAAATGGGCATAAGATACCTCACCAAACATATACAGATGAAAAATAAGTGTATGAAAAGATACTCAACATCATGTCATTAGGAAATTACAAGTAAAAACAATGACACCAATATGTATTTCTTAGAATGGTAAAATTTAGAATGGAAAAATTTAATTTTGTTTCTTAAATTTAAAAATTTGAAATTTAAAATATTCCACATAGTCCTCTTGTGAAAACTACCCAAAATAACAGTGAATTCAAGTGCAAAGGAAAAGCATAATAAAAAAACAAGAATAAAGAAGTAGTGATTATAGAAGCTGAATATGAGGACTAAATCAAATTCAACATAGATTTGAAACTAAAAAATTACTGTAAATATGATTATAATAAATGAAAATTTGTGAAATATTAAAAGAAATTATCTAGATGTAAATTTTCAATTTATGTACTTTAAACAATATTCGAAATGAGTGATAACAATAAAATCCTAATGTACTCATCTTAATAATGTAATTTCAATATATCTTGCTTAAAATGCTAAAAAAATTTTACTTATCCATATTTAAAGTACATTAGTCAAAAATTGAAATGTATTGCATAAAATACATGAGAACAGATTTTACACATACTACTTAGCATTGAAAGTAACTACTTTCAAGAGTTAACACTCATAATTTGTCTCCTATATTACATAAAGGATATGAAAGACAAGAATAAGAGGAAATAAGATTTTTTTTGAGGTAACTAAGCAAATATGATAAAGAGGGAAAGGAGATAAGAATTATATAAGATGTGAGCATGCACTGAAAAATTGTGTAAGTGCAAGTTAGGGTTAAACAATAAATAGTAATGATGTAGGAAAAGTAAAAAGAATGAATGATATGATAGTTCCCTAACCTATAACAAAGGGAAAAACCCTACCTTGCAGCATTGATGTAAAGAATAAATGAGATAACACAGATAACAAGACACATAGTACATGCTCAATAAATGCTAGTTTCTTTTTCCACTGGCAATCTCTACTTCTTTAAGGACAAAGACCAAGTTGGAACAAACATCACTTGACAATCTGGCACTAGGAGGACAAATAAAGGAAAAAAAGGTCTGCTATACTCAAGCATACCACCCTAATTTATAAAGTTTTACATGTCTTCTATGATTAAAAAAGAAAAAACCAAAAGAGTAAAATGTTACAAAATGATGAAATGGAAAACATTTTCAGTATCATACAAAATAAGAATCATCACATGCCAACAAACACCAGAAATCAACAGCTTTTACCATAGTTTTTCCTGATCCTCGGGGTCCAATAATGAGTACAGAGTTACTTTCTCCATGGATAGCAGTTCTTTTTAGCAGCTCACTTAAGTGTCTAAAATGACATAAATAGGATAAACTTTACAAAATGAAGCTGGAATAATTTGTTAGGTTGTAGTTTTTAAAAGGCGTATTTGAATATACACAGAAATTTCCTTTCTTCTGTCCCTCTGGACACTTGGCCTAGCCTCTGAATGGTCCTAAATAGAAAAATAGAAAAGAAATAGTAGAGCAGTATTGATTCTCTGAAATCTTCAAGTGAACAACGTAGTCAGTTTGGAATATATTGATTTTTATGATGGTAAGGGACAAGGGACAATAGTGGCAACTCTCAGGACCCTTTGATTCAAATCTCTTTTCCTACTAATACTTTGGACTTTTACTCCATAGCTGGCTGCTGGGTATTAAGAGCCAGATGGTTAGAATTCTTTTGATAGTATCAGATAACAGAAACAAAACAAGATTGAAAGTTAAAGAGCTTTCTCATTATGGATATATTTGTATCTGCTCCTGCTTCATGATATGCAGTGTTTCCATAAACAAGGCAAAATTTTTTACTTCTATAAAAGGGTCTTTTAGCTTTATTTAATAACAAATTTGTTACAATAATTTTTGCAAACCTGGAAGGCATCTGTAAGTAGGTCCCTAACAGTCAAAGGGACAACTAGACTTACTTATATTGTACTTGCGCTCCAAACAGGTTACTATGTGGACTCTGATGACAAAATCTTTCACGTAAAATTCTTTGTACCTGATGAAAATAAAGTGAATAAATATAAATAAAAATATTACACATGAAATAAAAAATGAATGAGAAAGCACATTTACAATACTCAGAATTAGGAATTAATGAATCAATTCAACTCTCTCTAAATTCTTATCCTCTAGAGTTCTGACATCATTTTCATAAGTTTTCAAATTAATGGTCTTCTTACCTATCTCAAGTCCCATAGGAAGAATGAGAGTTTAGTTAGGAAGGTTTCAACAAGAGGGAATCACTTACTTTAGCTATATTAGCAACTTAAGGGCTGTTTTAATGCAGGTGAATGAGTTAAGAAAAAAAAAATTATTATAAGGAGCTTTATATTTTGAGTTTACTTTAGAACGAGGACCTTAGACTTAGTCATGAAAATTTATGTCAAATAATCTAGCACAGTCTTTAAAAAGATGGACCATTAAAGTCATTCCTTTTTTGGATCTGCAGCTAATAAAGAGGTCTTTCAGAGACAAAAGCCTTAGGGTGCTATCTCAGATTTGACCCCATGGACTGGAATTAAAAACCTCCAAGAATATTTGCTTCTCCCAGGCTGATAGCATGGAACTAATCCTTCATGTATCAAAGAAATAAATTTGAGTTCTTATTCCATGTACAGAGGCTAAGCAAAGAAAATGACTCACTAGGGACAAAACCATCTATACTTGTTCATTATAAAGTAAGTTAAAGAATAAGGGCATTGACTCTAGAAGCTATTATATGAATTTTAAACATTAAGTCTTTTCTAAATTTTAATTTATTTATCTATAAAATAGGGACAATGACGCCTTGTGGCAGGCCTGTTTTAAAGATTAAAAAAGGGGGCGGATTGCGGTGGCTCATGTCTGTAATCCCAACACTTTGAGAGGTTAAGATGGGCAGATTGCTTGAGGTTAGGGGTTCAAGACCAGTCTGGCCAACAAGGTTGAAATCTCTTCTCTACTAAAAATTCAAAAATTAGCTGGGCATGGTGGCAGGCGCCTGTAATACCAGCTACTTGGCAGGCTGAGGCAGGAGTACTGCGTGAACCCAGGAGGCTGCAGTTGCAGTGAGCTGACATTACACCACAGCATTCCAGCCAGGACAACAGACCAAGACTTGGTCTCAAAAAAAAAAAAAA